ATTGTTGCTGTCATCTGTTGCTGATTCAACATTGCCCAGATCATCATCAACTGTATTTTCGTTATTTTTGATAAATTCATTTTCATTTAATATTTTTCATCATACTTTCTTTTAGTGTGTTGACATTTTTTTTTATTTTGACTTGAAGATAGTCCATGATATCAAACATTTAGATTGACACCTTTGTAGACAATGATTGCGATAACTACAATCAAATTAGTATAATTAGTGTAATCACATTATACGTAATTGTAAAAAAGGTTTGTTTTAGTATTAAAGGATACTGGATGTGAATCTATGATAATCTTCAACATTCAACAAGAATGTGTTTTTTAAATATTTTGTAAGTGCATTCCTCATGTTCATCTGCAACTTGCTTCTTTTTACGATCTACTGCTCTTGATGTTGTAGTTACTCCAAGACTTGTATCTACCAAGTCTAAATAGAATGCAAGGTCGAACTTAAAAGAGTTGATTTTGTATTATTTAATAAAACAAGAACATATCGGCCGATTTGGTTTTTTGTGCCTTTTTTCAAACCTTATGCTTTATTGTGTCTCAATGTTAAGCACGAGTATTTTTAATATGTAAACTGGTCGGTAGAATGATAATTAACCCTAAAAAAATTATTTGCTCCGCTAAAAAAACTAGGAAAAGAATCATCTAGATCATCATTATCACTATCAAAGATTAATTATTTCTTTTTGTTTTTTTTTTCCTGTTGTTGTTCATTCAAATTTTTATTATATTGTGAATATTTACATTTACTATTATTATTATTGTAATTACCAGAACTAATTCCACATGGTTTCCATATTTTTAGGTATTAGTATTGGTATTAGTATGTGAAAGCGCATTTTCCCACATTAGTATCTATTCCATATCAAAATGTGTTTGCCTGGTGCATTCCATATCAAAACACGCCTTTTCCGTATTCAGACCGCATCTATTCGGTATTAGTACCCATTATGTACATAGCCTTTTATAGGGCATAGATTTGTCAAGGTGAATTGGTTATAAGCACATTTATTTTAAAAATGCGGACATCCGTATAAAATACTAATACATTCAAGCATCGTTTTAATGGTACTGATCACCAAAATTCGTTGTAATGATCAATACAGTTTTTAATGGATGATGATGTTGTTGAGACATTTTCAAAGGTTTTAATCGTAAAATTTTTATTTGATAAAAGAAAATTTCATCTTTATTTATACAGATTTCTTGGTGTTATTTTTTTTATTTTAATTAAACAATTTTATTATTGTTCATTAATATTAATATTATCGTAGTCTTTTTTAAATTCGTTGTAACGCGGTTAGTACTATTACTATTTGAATGGATGGTAATATTTGGCCTGATAAATAAAAATTCATTAATATTAAAAGAGATTCATTATAAAATGTATTATTATTGTGAATCCTATTTAATCCTTCATCCAGTAAATGATTGGTTAAATATGCAAAATGATTGATGAATTTTCAGATAGGATATTTGCTGGAGAAGTCCCATAGAACATTTTAAAAAAAAACCAATGTTCTAATTAATGATTGAAATATTATGATAACCAAACTGATTAATAAATGAGCATTTAAAATTAATTATATAATTTGTGATGTATCAGCTATTAATAGGAATTACATGAGACAATAAATAATCATTTTTAATTGATCCTAATGAATTATATAAGACACTGACTGATTAAATCTATTTTTTTTTAACAACTAAATTTTTTTTTCAAAGAATTAAAAAAGTGTCAATATTTTATATAGATATGATAATGATGATAATAGTTAATAATACCTTGAATAACATCTTCATTTTCTACAATATGTGTTGAACCCACTTTTTGTGGATTATGTTTAGTAGATCCGGTTTCTTTTAGTTTTTTTAAGTTGTTCTCAACTGTACGGAGAGGTATGTTTGTTTTTTCATGTATTTCT